GCAAGGTGGCTCATGCCTGTAACCCTAGCACTTTGGGAGGCCAAGGCAGGAGGATCATTTGAGTCCAGGAGTTCAAGACTAGCCATCCTGGGTGACATGGCGAAACACCATCTCTACAAAAAATACGAAAATTACCAGGCAGTGTAGTGTGCACCTGCAGTCTTGGCTACTCAGAAGACTGAGGTGGAAGGACTGTTTGAACTCAGGAGGAAGCAGAGGTTGCAGTGAGCCTAAATCGCACCACTGCACTCCAGTCTAGGCAACAGAGTGAGACCTTGTCTCAAAAAAAAAAAGGAGAGAGAAAAAAAAAAAAAGTAAATGAGATCAAAGCAGAAACTAGCACACACAACTTACGGAGCTTGCTGTAGTTATACGGCCAAATTATGGCCAAACTGGGATTCACATCCAGGCTCATTATATCCTTCGAACCACAGGGAATAGGTCCAAAGAACTAACTACTCCAAATCTTTCTGACTCACAAATCTTAAAGCTTTTCTTTTGTTTCTGAGACAGAGTCTCGCTTTGTTGCCCAGGCTAGAGTGCAGTGGCATGATCTCAGCTCACTGCAACCTCTGTCTCCTGGTTCAAGCGATCCTCCTGCCTCAGCCTCCCGAGTAGCTGGGATTACAGGCACCCACCACCACGCCTGTGTAATTTTCATATTTTTAGTAGAGATGGTGTTCCACCATGTTGGCCAGGCTGGTCTCAAACTCCTGAGCTCAGCTGACACAGCGCCTTGACCTCCAAAAGTGCAGGGATTACAGGCATGAGCCACCATGCCTGGATACCCTTAAAGCAAACTTTTTAGATCACAAAATGTTACAAAATATTGAAAATATTGAGAGAACATTGAGAATACTAGTATACATGGAAGTTGTGCCCATTTAAAGAAAAATAAAATGCTGCCTGTTTTTAAAAAAAAAAAAAAAAGGAAATCAGATAAAAACCCTCCAATGGCTTCCATTCTAATCAGAGCAGCATCCAAGTCCTGACCAGGATGATGAGGCTCCAGGGCAACTACTGCTGCTCTTCTCCTACTGCACTTTGCTCTAGCCATCACACTGACTCGCTGAAATACTGCACACACAGCTAGTATGCGTCAGCCACAGGGCTTTTGCCCTGTTTCCTCTACCTGGAACATTCCTCCGACAGACAGCTGTATGTCTCACTACTTCATTTCCTTTAAGCTTCTGCTCAAATGCTACCTTATGAGAAAGGCCTTCCATGAACATTCTATGGAATACCCCTGCCATCACTACCTACCTATTCTCCCTTTCTTCTTACCCTCCTCATTGTTTGGCACTACATTAATCACGGTCTGGTCCCCTGCTGTTTACTTGTGCCGTAGTATAGAAACTCCAGAAAGTAGGCGGTTGTATGTTTTGTTTTCTTTTTTGCTACCATGATCCAAGCACCTAAAACATTACTTGGCACATATTAGACACCCAATAAATATTTGCTGAATGAATAACAGAAAAAAACATATTTCCCCTATAAAATTATAATAATGCCACTTTGAGGGAAAAAAAAAAAACTTGAAAATACACGTAACGCCAAACAGCATTAAATGGGTAAACACACTAAATACATAGCACATCCATATGACAGTCAACACATGACACAGACTATATGCTAGTAACACAGAGAAATACACATGAAAAAATCAAATGAGGCCAGGTGTAGTACCTCATGCCTGTAATCCCAGCACGTTGGGAGGTCGAGGTGGGAGGATCAGTTGAGGTCAGGAGCTCGAGACCAGCCTGGCCAACATGATGAAACCCTATCTCTAATAAAAATGCAAAAATTAGCCAGGTGTGATGGCACACACCTGTAATCCCAGCTACTCAGGAGGTTGAGGCAGGAGAATAGCTTGAACCCGGGAGGTGGAGGTTGCAGTGAGCCAAGACCACACCATTGCACTCCAGCCTGGGGAAGAGAATGAGACTTTGTTTTAAAAAAAAAAAAAAAGAATCAAATGAAAAAAATTAGGATGCCAAAAATTGATTACTTTATAAGAAAATACAGGCTGGGCATAGTGACTCACACCTGTAATCCCAGTACTTTGGGAGGCCAAGGTGTGTGGATCACCTGAGGTCAGGCGTTCAAGACCAGCCTGGTCAATATGGCAAAACCCCGTCTCTACTAAAAATACAAAAAATTAGCCAGGTGTGGTGGTGGGCACCTGTAATCACAGGTACTTGGGAGGCTGAGGCAGGAGAATTGCTTGAACCCGGGAGGCGGAGGTTGCAGTAAGCCAAAATCATGCCATTGCACTCCAGCCCGGGCAACAAAGCAAGACTCTGTCTCAAAAAAGAAAAAAAAAAAAGAAGAAAGGCTGGGCGCAGTGGCTCACGCCTATAATCCCAGCACTTTGGGAGGCCGAGGCGGGTGGATCACCTGAGGTTAGGAGTTCGAGGCTGGCCTGGCCAACACGGTGAAACACCGTCTCTACTAAAAATACACAATTAGCCAGGCGTGGTGGCAGGCGCCTGTAATCCCAGCTACTTGGGAGGCTGAGGCAGGAGAATCTCTTGAACGTGGGAGGCGGAGGTTGCAGGGAGCCAAGATCAGTGCCACTGTACTCCAGCCTGGGTGACAGAGCAAAACTCCATCTCAAAAAAAAAAAAAAAAGAAAGAAAAAGAAAATATCTAAACAATAATACTCTACGTACTATAAAAATAGCTATCTTATAATAATGAAAATAAAATTTTCTAATTCACTGGTTTCTTTTTGTCATGTAAAGATACTAAGGACAGTAATTTATAAAAGACCAAGCAAAACAGCTAATTGTAATTGCTCAAATCTTTTAAAAACTTTGATTCAACACACAGAATAGCATGCTGGTCTAAAAATAAGAAGACTATATAAACAAAAATGTTTCTACAGAGAGAGCTGCTATCTGAGGGAAGTCAGTCGAAGCGTTTTTATGCATGAAATCTCCTGCCCCCATTTACAAAACGAAGGAAGATAGTCTCCTACTTCTGTTTATTCATCTTGACTTAGATTTAAGCGGTACCTGCAAAAATATGATAAGTAAATATGAAAGTATTAATATTAGAAAGTAAATGAGGACAAAAACCACCAAAGTAAGCAACCCAACTGTTCATCAGCAATAAATGGATAAGCAAAATGTGGCATATTCCATACCAATGCAGTATTATTCAGCTATAAAAAGGAAGGAAATTCTGACATATGCTACAACACTGAAGAACCTCCAGGAACATTAGCTATATAATAGGCCAGTCCAAAAAGGACTAATATTCATATAAGGCACCTACAGCAGTGAAAATCACAGAGACAGAAAGTAAAATGGGGGGTTGCCAGAGGCTGGGGAGGAGAAAGAGGAGAAGTTATTGTTTCAGGGCAACAGAGCTTCAGTTTGGGAAGATGCAAAAGAGTTCTGAGATAGATATGAGGTGATGGTGGCACAACAAGGTGAATGTACTTTTCCTCTGACTGTACCGTTAAAAATGGTTAACATCAGGCAGAGCACGGTGGCTCACATCTGTAATTCCAGCACTTTTGGGAGGCCGAGGTCAGCAGCTTGGAGACTAGCCTGGCCAACATGCGTGAAACCCTGTCTCTATTAAAAATACAAATATTATGTCCAGACGTGGTGGTGATGGATAATCCCAGCTAATTGGGAGGCTGAGGCCAGGAGAATCGGCTTGAACCCAGGAGGCAAAGGGTTGCAGTAGAGGCTGAGATCACGCCATTTGCACTCCAGCCTGGGCAAGAGACAGGACTCATCACACACACACACACCCCACAAAAGTTAAAATTGTAATTTTTTCTCTTACTTATCTCTTTTTCTGTTTCTTATTTTTGAGATAGGGTCTCACCACTGTCACCAGGCTGGAGTGGAGATAGCGCGATCATCGCCTCACTGCACACCTCTGCTTCTAAGCTCAAGTGATCTCCCCCCCCTCAGCTCTCAGAGTACTGGAAACAGGCACACACACCATGCTCAGCTAATTTTTTTGTAATTTCCAGTAGAGATGGTTTCACCATGTTGTAGGCTGGTCTCAACTCCTGGGCTCAAGGCAATCTGCCCACTTTGGCCTCCCAAAGTGCTGGATGACAGGCATGAAGGCCACCACGGCGTGACCTATAAGGGGTAATCTTTTTTTTTTTTTTAGATGGAGTTTTTTTTTTTTCGTCTTGTTGCCATAAGTTAGCGAATCTCGGCTCACTTGCCAACCTTACCTCCCAGGTTTCAAGTGATTTCCCTGGCCGCAGTCCCTCAGTGACTATGCCTGTATGTCGTCATCCTGGTATGCGACCACAGCATCACGACCACCATGCCCAGCTAATTTTTGCGTTTTTTAGCGTAAAAGATACGGGTGTTCCCATGTTCGGCCAGCCTGGGTCTTGAACCCCTGCCTCACGTGATCATGCCTGCGTCGGCCATCTGAAAGTGCCTGGGATCACAGGGCTGAGCCATCACGCCCAGCCCTAAACAGATTTTTTATATGTATTTAACCCAATTTTATAAAAACAATCCAAGGCCGGCGCGGTGGCTTCAAGCCTGTAATCCCAGCAGCTTTGGGAGCCGAGACGGCGGGATCATGAGGTTCAAGGAAGAGTCGAACCATCCGGCTACACGTGAAAC